CACAGTAATGGAAAAATTACACAGGATATATAGAAGAGACAGAGTTGTGGTTTTGAGAGAGACTTTACACTTGAGTATTGTTAATTACCTTTTCTAAGGTAAAAAATAAAGCAGATTTAAGTTGTTTCACAGAAGCAGATTATAGAAAAGTTCAATTCTGTGCTCTCTTAGGCCAAAGATTCTGAAGAACTATAATGATCGCAGTTGATAAAGTTATTTAAAAGAATTGACAGGCGTAGGCAATGATACAATAAATCCCTCCCTCTGTGCACAAACCTCCTTCCCCCACTGCACACTAATAAAACTGGATGTCAGATCACTCTCTCAGGACAAGCTGCATCATCTTCACAACTTCACTCTTCTGCACTCCACCAGCAATGAGGCCGCTAGTGACTCTTGTGTTCATCTGCATGCTTTTACCCAAAGGTAAGAAATCTCATTTGTGTGTGTTCGTGTGTGTGTGTGTGAGAGAGATAAAGAGAGACGTATACAGTGGCACGAAAAACAGGGTGTCCCAAAAGTCTCCATCAATAGTGGAAATTAACACTTTTTAGCTAAGTGTAACTTTATTTAGAAAACCTCCTCTACATGATTGCCATTTCTTTTTAAACACACACAGAGTCGTCTCTCCTGCTCATGATGAACTTGTGTTAACACATCTGGTGTTATGCATTACATGTCCATTAATTACATGTCCACTGCAACCTTATGACAGCTTCCCGGTTCAGCCATGAGAATGATTTCAATACGTTCTTCTTTTCTCAAAGGTGTTCTTAAAGCCTATCTAGAAAAAAAAAAATATATATATATATATATATATATATATATATATATATATATATATAAAAATTAAAGGAACACTTTGAAAACACATCAGATCTCAATGGGGAAAAATATCATGCTGGATATCTATACTGATATGGACTGGGTAATGTGTTAGGAACGAAAGGATGCCACATCATTTGATGGAAATGAAAATTATCAACCTACAGAGGGCCGAATTCAAAGACACCCCGAAAATCAAAGTGAAAAAATGATGCAGCAGCCTAGTCCATTTTGCTGAAATTTCATTGCAGCAACTCAAAATGGTACTCAGTAGTTTGTATGGCCCCCACGTGCTTGTATGCATGCCTGACAACGTCGGGGCATGCTCCTAATGGGACAACGGATGGTGTCCTGGGGTATTTCCTTCCAGATCTGGACCAGGGCATCACTGAGCTCCTGGACAGTCTGAGGTGCAACCTGGCGGCGTCGGATGGACCGAAACATAATGTCCCAGAGGTGTTCTATTGGATTTAGGTCAGGCGAGCTTGGGGGCCATTCAATGGTATCAATTCCTTCATCCTCCAGGAACTGCCTGCATACTCTCGCCACATGAGGCCGGGCATTGTCGTGCACCAGGAGGAACCCAGGACCCACTGCACCAGCGTAGGGTCTGACAATGGGTCCAAGGATTTCATCCCGATACCTAATGGCAGTCAGGGTGCCATTGTCTAGCCTGTAGAGGTCT